TAATATTACTTATCTAAAAGTAATAAAACTATAAAAGGTTAGTTATCTATCGAGGACCGAAAAGCCTTCTATTCCTTCTCCGTCTTCTTCGTACGCTTCTACCGGCGACTTCTAGTAGGAGCTATTCTTTTAACGATTCCTTATTATCGTCTATAGTCTCTAGTACTACTACTTTCTTCTTCGTCTTAGGTTATACGACGGAAAGGAGAAGATATTTAATAATAAAGTAACTCCGTTAGTCGTAGCGAAGATACGCTCCGAGCTTCCTTTTCTAGTTAAGTATCGTTAACGATACCTATAAAGCTCTCTATAGTTCCTCTAAGGACGCTATAGCTTATACTATCGACGTCTAATTTATCTTATCTTTCGTATAACTAGTAGTACTAAATAGGTTACTTCTAGATATTTTCTCTCTAGCTTTCTTCTACCGAAGAGCCTCTAGATTTATATTAATTATATAGAAGAGAGTATAATACTCCCTATAGATTAATAAAATTAACGTTATAACGAGGGCGCTCTTTAGGTCGTACGAAAGGTAGTTTAATATAAACGTCTTCTTTACCGAGTCGATCTAGTCTAGTCCGCCGACCTCGAGTAGTATACGATTAAACTCGGCGAGAAATACGCTAAAGAACTTTTCGTCCTACTTTAGCTAAGAAAGCTTTCGTAATACTCTTTCTATAGCGTCGACGTCCTCGTACGCCGCCTTTAATTAACTAATAAGTTCTTTCGTATTTATTTCGAGGGTTAATTATACGGAATTAACTTACGAACTAATCTAGGTAAGGGCGTAGCCCCTTAGTCTACTATAGAAATACTAAAATCGTACGGCTTCGATTTCCTCTTACTTATCGACCGCTAACTTAGCTCGAGCTTAGGTAAGCTACGACCGAAACTCTAATCTTTTTCTATTAAATTTAGCTAGCTTAGGGAGCTTAGCCTTTCGTCGTATAGAATTAGATTCTTATATAGCGCTCGCCGTCGTAGAAGTCGTTACTTTAGGCGTACGAGCTCGTACTCTATTCTATTAGCCGAGTTAATTCTCGAGTACTATTATTCTTTAGTTTTAAGCCTATAAGAGCTAGTATAGCTCTACCGCCTATACTAGAACGGTTTCCGTTAGTTACTATTCGTTATCTATTTCGTACGCGGTACTCTTTTACTACGTATAATAGGGAGCTTTAGAATAATATAAGGAATTAGCTAGGAATTTAGAGTAATTCGTCTAACTATCGTATAACGAGGATTCTAAAGCTAAGGAGAGAAAAGAAAAGAGAAAATCTATCTACTATACGAATAAAGGAAATACT